CAATAGGAAACCTGGCAATAACCACCCCAGGAGAAGCATCTTTTGTGGGAAAGGACAGGGAATGCGGGGCCCTTGATTTGACCTTGAGATGAGAACCAGCAGCTATTGTTGAGGTTAGGCAGAGCTGTGGCAGTGGTCTTGGCATGGGAGGTCATGTCCACTGGCCTAGAGCTGGCTGGGGAGTGGATGAGGAGAGAGGGGCTTGCAGGCTTCCAGCTGTGAACAGGCCTCTTCCTGCTCTTCATCGTTTGATGTTTTCCACCAGACATATCAGAGCTGCTTGTACTGAGGCAGCAAAGCCCGCGAATGTTTATCCAAGGCTGTCATTGGTGGTGAAAACTGGAATGGCCAGCAGAGAGAATTGGAAAGAGTGGAGGCAACTGCATGTAGGGCTGTCCTGCCTCTTTTTCCGTCTCCATGAGGCCTTGCCTCTTCCCGTTAAGGGAAAAGAAGCTGAAAATGTGGGAAGGACAGGATTCATGCAATCTTGAGACTGTGGAAAGGGTTAGTGGGAAAGAACAGAAAGATGGAAAGGGCGCAAACTCCTCTGATTTTACTGAAAGACTGGAAGGAGGTGGCATTCCAACTTGGTTGAGGTTGCACCAGGTTGAGATTAAAAGGGACGGTAAAGTACACAAATACCATGAGCAAGTTAAAGGGGAGGTAGCCCCTTCAACTGTCATGTGTAGCTCTTCTGACAGCCCTTATATCTATCTGTCTTGTTACTACAGACTCGCTAATGCAAACACAATGAGATCTTTTAGGGGTTTATGGAAGTTTGCTAGCAAAATACTGGCTCCAAGGCCAGATTCTGGCTATGTTTGGGCATGAGAGACTGCAACTGCTAATAACTAAGGCTAAGCTGACCTTCATGCTGCCATCTAGTGTTTCCTCATAGACAGAAACAACATCCCAAAAAAGAAACTTCGAAGCTCCATAATGCTGTATTCAGAACAAATGTAATTTATTCCTGCTGAAATACAATGCTGGACAACACACAAGCTGAAGGAGTGGGAATGGGGAAGAGACATGCAGAGGACTGTGCTCAGGGTGAATATTTAGGGAAACACCTTTTCTTAAAAAAAATTGTAACTATTTCATCCAGGAACAGAGACATGTCCACAGCAAGATAATTACTCAGAACCAGAATTTGTCCTCATTTGTTTTTTGCTCTGTGAAATTAATATGGCTGTTTGCAAGGTGCAACAGTACACAACAGAGCAAGAATCCAAGCAGAAGCTTGTCTTAACCAAGAGAGACCAGCATAAGAGGCTTGGCAGGTTCTTCTTGTCTGTCCTTGCTACTCTCATAAAAAATGCATGGTATGTTTACTTCACAGCCATCAGATGCTAATTTTTCTTTCAAGTATACATGATGGCTAACAAGAGGTAACAAGTTATTGCTGGGGACACATGCAAAAGGTTTGACTCCTGGCCCTTCAAAGCTTGATCCCTGGCTTTGAGGAGCTGTAACAGGATGCTCTTCCAACTGTTGCACATCCTGGATTCATGCTGGAACTGTAGAACTCTAACCCTAATAATAATGACTCAAGAGTTCATGGGCTGGATGATACAATTACAACAGAGAGAGCATTCTTTTTCCCCAGGCTTCTTTAAAATGTTTTGAGTCAAAGTCCAAAACAAACACCAAACATCCAAAAATCATTGTTCTCTTTTGGAGACCCTGAGGAGCTTTGCTTCCTGAGAACCTGAGCAGGAAAGCTGCCAGGAAGGACTGCACAAGTGAAAAATGGCAAAAATCTGCTAATTTAAGAAAACAGACTGCCCAGAAGGAAAGGAAAGCCATAATGAGGAGTCTTTAAATGCCAGCTCCTACTGGCATTGTATGAAATCAGGTATGAATTTAGTAATTCACAGGAAAGTTTTCCCATTTATAATAAAATTTTGGTAGCAATAGAACACACGTGTTTCAACATTATGTATACAAACTGACTGCATGTTCTCACTGCAGTGGTAACACGGCTTGTTTAGGTGAAGAGGAATATCAGCACAGCAAAGAACAGAATCAATCTCTTCAGCAGAAAGGACCATGTACTTCTCTGCTTACAAATCACCTCTCAGGTCAAAACGTGAATGTTGTCTCAGGCCCTTAGGTCTTTCAAAGACCTAGTCCGCAGAGCAGAAAGTCCTCAGGTGCGTAATGGTAGAGCCCATGTGTCTCATTCATACTATTCCTGTTTTTTCACCAAGAGAACAAGTACATCCCAGTCCCACCAAACAGAGCCTACTGCGGGATTAAGGCATCATTATTCTTCCTTTCCTGTTGGTACAACGCTGTAACACCCATGTAGGTACCAAAAGCTTTCTCCTAAACATGCTGAACAAAAAAGCAGCCTTTCTTTATGCTTAGCGGGCTTTGTATTCAGACCTAACAGAGTTGTATGCTGTGACTATACGGCTTTTATTTTCCAAAGCTCTTGTTTAACGCTTATTGCTGTGGAATTCACATTCTCCTTCAGTTCCTTGTTCTCCCCCCTTCCATGGAGTCATGATGACACTCAGCAAGGATAAGTGAATGAAAAAAAGATACGCTTCAGCTCTCTTCCAAAGTGCTCAGGATATCTGTGGATTAAAAAAGAGCAAGAGACTCCTGTTTTACAGCTTCATCTCCAAAGAGCCCATCTGAGAACACTACGGGGCAAAGGCTTGAAAACCAAGAGCACGTGTCTGCAAGCAGTCTCTTCAGGATCTGCATCACCTGCTTGCTTACAAAATGGCCACATGCTTGCTGGTGTGGGATACGGGGCCCACAGAGCAATGGCCGTACAGCTCCAAAAACAACCTATTCCCCATCCAGCAGGGAGAGACTGCCGTTGGGGGCTCTGGCATCGGGGTTCACCCACTGCTTTTACTCCAAGGGGAAGTGGGTGAGGGCTTTGTAGGTAAGACATGGCCAAAGCCACAGGAATCAGCACAAAGCTTGTGGGGCACATGCCATGGTCTCTGCTCTCCAGTCCTCTGCCAACCAGTTTAAGTGGGCCAGTATTTTTTTTTAACTCTTCTTCTGTAAATTTTTTTAAGACAGTTTTTGTGTAAATGTTGCAAAAGAAAATTTATTATTTCTTGAGGAACAAATTTCCCCCCGCACCCACACAATTTAATTTTTTTCCCTCCTCCTCTTCTAACGATAGATTAAACATGCCAATGGGAAGCTTGCACAGCTTCCAGCATTGGGTGGATTTATTTTTTTTTAAATCAAAAGGTACAAATTCAGTTGTTCTTATCTTCTCAGTTTTGGGGACAGAGATTTTGCCCTTCAGGCAAGCTAAATAAATAGGAAGGACATCAACTTCAGTATGTTGTTTGTCTCACGATTCACTATAACATTTCCCTAGTACCAGGCATGGCCGCCTCCCGAATAAGCAGAGTTAAAACTTTCCTGTAGGTGTCTAAGACCTCTTGGGCAGAAGGCCTTTCAGCCGGGTCCTTCTTCTTACATGCTGCATGGATGTCAAACAAATGCAGTCGCACAATGTCACTTCCTTCAACATGGCCCAAGAAAAAATTGGAGACATCCGGGATTTTCCAGATGTCTGTTTTCTCGTCATAGGGAGGCATGAGGTCATCCTCGAATGGCACCTCTTCTCCATAGGGCCAACGCTGCTCAGGAGCTACAAACTCGCCCCGGAGCTCCCGATGACCACACTTCACCAGCCTGCCGGCACTCCTGTTCACAAGAGGCAAAGCGTCCAAATCATTCACCAGGATGTGAAAGTCACTTGTTAGGAGATACTGAGAGAGGACCTTGTCCAGGTCATTCGAGTCGCACATCACTAAGGTGCCCAGAGGGCTGCTGTGCAGGTACCGAATGATGCTCACATAGTCTATAGCAAGCATCAACCTGCGATGCCAGGTGTTCATGCCCTTGTACTTGGGGATGTGCAGAGTTTCATTCAGGCCCCTCAGGGAGCCTAGAGGATGGTACTCGGTAAGGATTGTGAACTGCTGCACACAGTAGCCAAGCAGCCGGACAACATGCTTGCTTTGAAGTGCTTTCAGCATCTTCAGTCCGTGGAGAAAGTCCTCCTTCAGCTCTGAGTTGGTGAGCTGTGAAAGGACCACTTTGTTTTCCTTCCACTCGGAAAGGAAGACCTGAGAACACAAGAGACACATAAGACACGTGGAGAGCCTTCTTCCACTGACTGCTACCAGCTGCCGCTGACCTCCGAGTGACTTAGTCACAACTGCAAATTACAGTCACCAGGCACAGTCAAGCCTTTAGGTAGGGCCATGTACCTGTCACAGCAAGCCCTTACCGACATTGTAACTACATCACAATTTCCTAAGTTTTCTTTGGAATGGGCAATGCAGATGAATTAAATTATTTCATACCACCCAACCAGCCAGGCTTACTCTGCCATGATTGTACCACGCTCCACAAGCGCTTCACCGATCTCTGTGATTTTTCTTGTGTAGCTGGATGTCGTTCAGTGTCAGAGAGGTGGCCCAGGGCTCTGGTCATGCTCTCCTACCTGTTCTGTGCACCTTATCAGTGGCCATATGCCCCTGGATGTCTACAGTAATTAGCTGCTGCAAGGATAATTATAAAGCAGTATGGGCATTAATTAGCCAGCAAACAGTGAAAGCTCTTTATCCACAGGAGAGAAGAAAGGAAAACCAAACTCACCTTTTTCACAGCACCTTCACCAACACACTTGAGTTTCCTGACTTCCCTATTTATGGCTTCGCAAGAGAGCCACGGGGAACAATTCTTCACTGCTCCCAATTTGAAGTACCCGAAAGGGCAGAGGCCGGGGTCTGTTTCGGCGCGTCCCGAAGAGATGTAAAATTTGTTGACGTACAGGTAGAGAAGGGCATTAAGGAGCAGGATGGCCGCGAACAGTAATGCCAACGAGACAGATGACACCTCCCTGGGAGGAAACTCCCTCCTAACGAAGTGTGGTTTCTTTTCCATGGCCGTGCCTTCTGCATTCTCCGTGAAAGACGGAGGCTAAGCAGGACACTCTTCCCAGCCCGGGGATGAACGTCTGTGGGGCTTTTTCATTGCAGGCTACACAATCGCCTCGCAGACACCACAGTCCTGAGCCTGCAGCCTACGAGAAAGGCCACGCGTGGCCCCGGTATATGTTAAAAGCGGTTTCAAGCTCGACGCTCGCTGTTCATCCCCCTGGTTTTCTAAACAGGAGGGCCCGGGCTGCCGGCCACCCCGGGCAGGGACGTTTGACCGCGGAAAACACAGCAGCCGGGGGAGT